ATGACATTAGATAGCGGTTATCACACAACCGCTATTATAAATTATTTTAGAAAGCGGTTCTTTCTGAACCGTTATTAAAATATACTTTAGAGAGCGGTTTACTCCTAACCTCTATCTAATATGTATTTTTAAAAGCGGTTTTTATTAATCGCTATCTAAAGTGCTGTCACATAAGCTCATTTCTGTTATAGTGTAGTCATGAGTACAAACTCTACTCAGGTTGTCAATTGAAATGGAAAAAAATATTACTGAAGTATACAATAATCTAAAAGACACAATTCTATTAAAGCTTTCAAAGTAGAAGGTAGATCTCTTTTATATCTACAAAAACTACAACATGTGGAAATAAAAAGTAAGATTTAGATAAAAAAAATTAAAAGTAAATAAAAAGCACAAGTAAAAAATTATCTTATAATTAGTAATAACACTAATGTCACTAATATAATTTTTTTTATGTATACATGAACAACAAACCATCTAACGACTACTACGACACAATGAAAAAAGAGAGTCAAAGTATTAATGCGTTAACATACTATCTTTATGTGATTTACGCTAAATTTTTCTTATAGAACATTTGACATACACTACAAAAAAAAAGCCTATTACCTACGGAATATTACCTACGGATACAAATCCATAGGTAAATTTTACATTACCTACGGATATTACCCACGGATAAAAATCCGTAGGTAAATTTTACATTACCTACGGATATTACCCACGGATAAAAATCCATAGGTAAATTTTACATTACCTACGGATATTACCCACGGATAAAAATCCGTAGGTAAATTTTACATTACCTACGGATATTACCCACGGATAAAAATCCGTAGGTAAATTTTACATTACCTACGGATATTACCCACGGATGAAAATCCGTAGGTAAATTGTACATTAACTACGGATATTACCTACGGAATTCTATCCGTAGGTAATTATCCATTACCTACGGATATTACCCACAGATGAAAATCCATAGGTAAATTGTACATTACCTACGGATATTATCTGTAGGTAATGTAATCCGTGGATAATTCTGTAGGTAATTACCTACGTAATTACTATCCGTAGGTAAAGTGTACATTACCTACGAAATTCTATCCGTGAGTAATTATCCATTACCTACGAATATTTTCCGTAGGTAATATCATCCGTGGGTAATTACCTACGGAATTACTATCCGTAGATAAATTATATTAAACTAAAAAAATTGTCACTAGCAAGAATCAAACCCAGTACCTTAAAATTGAAAACTGATACTTCAACCACTAAACTATTAGGATATTCTAATAATAATTTACAACTAAATTATACTTATATTAATTCGTGTAAATATATAAATATATAAATATATAAATATAAAATATATAAATATATAAATATAAAATATATAAATATATAAATATAAAATATATAAATATATAAATATATAAATATATAAATATATAAATATATAATATAAAATATATAAATATAAAATATAAAATATAAAATATAAAATATATAAATATATACATATATAAATATATAAATATGTAAATATGTAAATATGTAAATATGTAAATATATAAATATGTAAATATATAAATATACAAATATACAAATATATAAATATATAAATATACAAATATACAAATATACAAATATACAAATATACAAATATACAAATATACAAATATACAAATATATAAATATACAAATATATAAATATATAAATATATAAATATACAAATATACAAATATACAAATACATAAATACACAAATACATAAATACACAAAATACATAAATACATAAATACATAAATACATAAATACATAAATACTTAAATATTTAAATATTTTAATATTTAAATATTTAAATATTTAAATATATAAATATTTAAATATTTAAATATTTAAATATTTAAATATTTAAATATTTAAATATTTAAATATATAAATATATAAATATATAAATATATAAATATATAAATACATAAATATATAAATACATAAATACATAAATACATAAATACATAAATACATAAATATATAAATACATAAATACATAAATACATAAATACATAAATACATAAATATATAAATATATAAATACATAAATATATAAATACATAAATATATAAATACATAAATATATAAATATAAATATATAAATATATAAATATATAAATACAAATATATAAATACAAATATATAAATGTATAAATGTATAAATATATAAATATATAAATATATAAATATATAAATATATCAAAATATAAATATATTTTATATTTATATATATTTTATATTTATATATATTTTATATTTATATATATTTTATATTTATATATATTTTATATTTATATATATTTTATATTTATATATATTTTATATTTATATATATTTTATATTTATATATATTTTATATTTATATATATTTTATATTTATATATATTTTATATTTATATATATTTTTTATATTTATATATATTTTATATTTATATATTTACACGGATAAATATAAATATAATTTATTTGTAAATTATTTTCAAAATAACCTAATAACTTAGTGGTTGGAGTATCGACCTCCAACTCGAGTGCATCGAGTTCGAATCCTGCCAATGACAATTCTCTTAATCTAATAATAATTCAAAGTTTCGAAAATATAATAATAAATAAAAATATTTTGTTAAGGTAAGTGCATTACCTACGGATTATAAATCCGTAGGTAATTACCTACGACCAAATTACCTACGGATTTTCTATGGAAAGAAATCCGTAGGTAAAGTGACATTACCTACTGATTTTACCAGTAGATAATAAGCGTTTTTTGTAGTGTATCCGTGTTATTATTTTAATAATTGTTTATAAGTAATAAAATCATAAAAAATATTATATACACATTAATTAATAATATTTTATTATAAGTAATAAAATCATATGAAATATTATATACACATTAAAATTAGAATATGCAAAATAAAATTATATAAAAAGATTATATGTGATGGGTTTTTAAGAGGCATAATCGTATCAAGACTTTATAAAGAAAAATTATGAATAAATATAAAGACATATCATAGTAATCTTATCTATCAAGATATTGTATATAATTATTTGTAAAGAATATCAAAGATGAAGATTTTTCTTCAATGGTCATCTTATTCAAAGCCTATCAAAATAGATGATGGTGAATGTAAAAGACACATCTACAACACAGAATAATTCTTGTAAGCTTCTCACTCTACAAAACACAGAATAATTTTGTAAGCTTCTCACTCAAGTTTGTAGAGAATATCTAATAGAATGTTTAACAATGAAAAAAAAACCTTTATTATATCCTTCACAAAATAAGGTTAGAATATTATTCACATATATGGTCTTTTTCTTCAGAGATTTTTATTGTAGTTTTACTTTAAATACTTATTTCTTGTAGCTAAAAGTGACGATTAAAATTATTTGTAGTTCTTAAAAGAGTATTAGATAAAGCATAAGAATAGACTGAACCTCGATAACTCAAACCTTTATTTGTCCTTCTACCTTAGCTATACATAACCTACCAAATTCATGAAAAAAAAAAAATCACCATCTAATTAACCTAACACTAGACTCGTATTAAACCAATGTGACTTCTAAAATATAATTTTAGACTAAATAAATTTCTATTATATATATATATATATATATATATATATATATATATATATATTATTTTAAGATGAAAATAAGTTTTAAACCATTTTCTCCAAAATTAAGATTTAAAAATTATTCTCCATCTTTATTTTTTTTATAATCTAATATATATATATATATATATATATATATATATATATAATATAATATAATATAATATAATATAATATAATATAATATAATATAATATAATATAATATAATATAATATAATATAATATAATATAATATATTTAAAGGTTAAGATAAAATATATTTTTAAATAAAAGATAGAAAAATTATTAGATCAATAATAATATCTTATTTCAAAGACTGAAAATAAAAAATTAAAATAAAATAATCTTGGAAAAAATAATTTAAAATAAATTGAATAATTTAAAAACATCACGAAACAAAAGTCTTGTACTACTTTAAAGTTCTTTACAAAAAATTGATACAGAAATTACTTATCATATTATCATAAACAAATTTATAAATAATAATTATTTTAATGATTAATTTGATAATTTATTCGTGTATATGGTACCTTATCTTTTAACTGCTAGCATTTAAATTTTACCGTGTATCTATGTACAAACAAGAAATTTATCAAATGAAAACTGAACCTCTTCTATAAGAAAACCTCCTATAAAATTGTTTATAAATAAAAATAAATATTTTATTACATGATGTGAGTTGCTTAAAAATTAGAAAAAACTTAAAATTTGTAAAAAATTATTTATATAAATAACTTTAATCATATTTTAAATAATTTAACTAAAAAATTTATAATAAAATATATAATTTTATTTTTATTTTTAAATAATTCTAGTTAAAAATTCCTTTTTACATGCCTATTACTTAAAACATTTATATTTTTAAACATTTACATGACCTAGAAAAGCAACGTGGGAATGCAGTTCTCCTCCATCCGTCAAAAGAGAGGACAACAATTGCAATAATAAAATCTTTAGTGTGTAAGTAAGATACACCAAAGGAAAACGAGGGTTAACGGTCAGCCCCACACATTTGCAACCTTTTTTCTGTCCGTTCGTTTTCCTCTCTGTCTCCCCTTCACACACAACAGGCACGACCACTTCAACTCTCAACCCCTGAATTTTTTTAGAAAACGAGCTTAAAGAAAAGAGAAACTAAACCATAACAGCTCAATAAGCATCAAATTAAAAAAGAAGTAATTAAGGAAAATAAAAATTAAAAAAACAAAAACACAGAGGATAATTCTCCAATGTTGTCTTTGAATCATTTATCAGTCTGAAACACCTTATTTTTGTTTTTTGTTCTCTCACGGAACCAATTAACACTCAATCGCAACAATCACAATGGAAAAGAACCTGGATGCGAATTCTGGCAGTTTCTCTCCCAAAAAGGAGGACATAAACACGGGTGACACTCCTCATTTGCCAGTGCCGGAATCTGAAGAAGCCGCGGATTCAGAAAAGGCCGGGGATTCAGAAAAGGCCGAAGATTCCAAAAAGGCCGGGGACTCAGAAAATACGGGGGATTCAGAAAAGGCCGCGGATTCAGATAAGGCCGTGGATTCAGAACAAGTTGCGGGAGAGGAGGAATCTAAAGAGGAGAAGCAGGGACAAGAAGGATCCAAAGAGGAGAAGAAGGTAGAAGAGGGATCCAAAGAGGAGAAGAAGGAAGAAGAAGAATCCAAAGAGGAGAAGAAGGAAGAAGAGGAATCCAAAGAGGAGAAGAAGGAAGAAGAGGAATCCAAAGAAGAGAAGAAGGAAGAAGAAAAAGAAGAAACCGTGGAGGCTGAACCGGAATCTCCGCCTCCGAGCCTCGAGAAGGTCTCAGAAGAGATTGATCAATATCTCGTGACATTACAACGAAATGTCGATGCCAAAGAATCCGCCACATTGGAACTCCCTACTTTCCTCCCTATTTTCTTGCATCTGATGGATCAGAAGATAGCGAAGTACGACACAGGTGAAACGAAATGGGGAGAAACAACTGAAGAGGATTCCTCCCTTTTGGAATGCGTGAATCGCGTTTCGAAGCTGATGAAGCATTTCACAGACTACTCTCAGTCTGACGTAGAGGAAGAACTGGAGGATAAAGACATGGACAAGGATGACGACATGGGGAAGGGCAAACTGGACTTCATGATCAACGACATCGGCGTGATTCAGCAGCGCGTGATGTCGTTTTTGGAGGACGCGTTCCGTACTCTTATGGAAGAATCTAGAAACCCAAACAAACCAGACTCGAAAGGAAAACAACCTGTGGCGGACTCCTCGGAGTCCGAACCGCCTGAAGAAATAGTTCCGGAATTCCCAGGTTTCACGGAGGAAACGATAACGAATCTGAGCAAAATCGCCAAGGAGATGATAGCCGGTGGTTACGAAAATGAGTGTTACCAAGTTTACACCCTTTCTCGGAGGCACGCGTACGAGGATGGCATGCAGAAGCTTCTAGGGTACGAGAAGCTCAGCATAGATGAGATTCAGAGAATGCAGTGGGAGCCACTGGAACGCGAAATCCCGACGTGGATCAACACTTGGAAGGAATGCACCACTGTATGGTTCTGCGGCGAGAGAAAGCTCGCCGAAGCGGTCTTCGCCAACGAGACGGAAACCGTGGCGAGCATCATGGGCAACCTCTCCCGCCCAATTGTCATTCAACTGCTTAATTTCGCGGAGAGCATTGCCATGACAAAGCGCGCCGGAGAAAAACTCTTCAAACTCTTGGACATGTACGAGACTCTACGAGACGCGATTCCAATAATGGAAACCTTGTTCCCCAATGACATTATCGGGGAAATCAAGGCCGAGACAACATCAGCAAAATGTCGTCTCGGCGAGGCAGCGGTGTTGATATTCTGTGACCTGGAGAATTCGATTAAATCGGAGACCGGGAAAACCCCGGTGGCTGGCGGCGCGGTGCATCCTCTGACACGCTACATAATGAACTACCTAAGGCTAGCTTGTGAGTATAAAGGCACATTGGAGGAAGTGTTCAAAGAGCATTCGAAAATCGAGCGTGCAGATTCAACGAGCAGACCTCGTTATGAAACCGAGGAGTGCAAACTGAAGAGCCAGGACAAACCGAAAGAGGTCTCGCCGTTTGCAGCACAATTAATGAGGGTGATGGAGCTTCTGGACTCGAATCTGGAAGGGAAGGCGAAGCTGTACAGGGAGGTTGCGTTAAGCTGCATTTTCATGATGAACAATGGAAGGTACATAGTGCAGAAGATAAAAGGTTCTGCGGAGATCTACGAAGTGATGGGGGAAACATGGTGTCGTAAGAGATCGACGGAGCTGAGGACTTACCATAAGAACTACCAGGTGGAGACGTGGAGCAAGATTCTGAGTTTCCTGAGCCCTAAAGGGTTGAGCGATCGCGGGAAGGTGCAGAAGCCGGTGCTGAAGGAGCGGTTCAAGTCATTCAACGCAGCGTTTGAGGAGATCCACAAGACGCAGAGCATGTGGGTGGTGAGCGATGAACAGCTTCAATCGGAACTTAGGGTTTCGATCTCTGCACTCGTGATTCCTGCGTACAGATCTTTCTTGGGGAGGTTTTCGCAGTATTTGGACCCGGGAAGACAAACCGAGAAGTATGTAAAGTACCAAGCTGAGGATATAGAGACTTACATTGACGATTTGTTCGATGGGAACCCGCACGGGCGTCGCTAGCAACAAACAAACAAACACATACAACAGTGTGGATCAACGAAGAAAGAAGAACTCCATTAAAGATGGCACCTGGCAGCACGCGCATGCTGTTGAGGCTTTTCCCTTGATTTGGTGGTTCTGTTTCCACGACGGCCGAATTGGGTCGTTTGAATGTAATATGATGATAGTATTATTATTATGACCTTTCTTTTGTATACATGCAGGATTAATTTGGTTAGTGTTTAGGGTGAGTGAGTGAGTTCCGTCCGATCTTGTATTCAGTTTTCCAAGTCACCTTCACCTTTTTTTTCTTTCTTAATTTGATTTCTTAATTCAGTTTGTATAATTATTTTTTTCTTCCTTTATATGTTTGGTTTTTCATGTTAATAACTCCTATACACATTATGTATTGTCAGAGCTTTGTTTGATATAGACCCTTGCCCGAGCTATTGGAGGGGTCGATATTTCAGCGAGTTTGAAACTTAATTCATGGTTAAT